CCTTAACAAGACATATGGATAGGATAGTCTGTGGAGTAAATAAGGAGAAAAGAATTGGATTATGCTACCCAGGGGCATATAACTGGCAGAGCAAGAGATATAATAAAGGGGGCTAGCAATGATGTAGTTTTGTTGTTCACGTAGGGGCTAATGCTGTAGGAACAGGTAGGTCAGAGTAGTTAATTAATAAGTACCAGGGTTTGATAAAGGCATTTAAAGAAAAAGGCCATAACTTAATTGTGTCAGGAATACTGCCAAGAATTAATAGTGGGGATGAAATTATGAATAGGTCACTAAGGCTAAATGCTAGGCTTAGGTTAATATGAAAGATGAGCAGATGTGCTGTTTGGACATGTGGAATCAGTTCAGTGGGAGAAGGGAGCTTTTTGGAATGGATGGTTTATATTTAAATAAAGTAGGGTCTGGCTTATTTGTAAGGGCTATTAACTCAGCTGTAAGGGAAGTTTTAGACCAGGACAAGAAAATGGTGAGGATCAGTATAAACTAAATGCAAAAATGATAAGATATAGAGAAAAGTTTAGCATAGGAAATTTATATAGAAGTAGTTCTAAGGATCATTGTTGTACTCAAGACCTGAGTGTTTGAGACAAGACCTTAGGGGTTGAGACCAAGACTGAGACCTTGCAATAAATTACACAATGAAAAGTAGAACAAGAAAATAAAAATCACATATCAAGCAAACTTTATTAACATCTTAACCACAAATGTTTTACACATTAACCCCACAGTCTTTGTTTTAATGCCTCTTCCTATGGAAAAAATAATGAATGAATAAAAAATAATCAAAAAGGTCAGTATATAAAACTAAAGAAAAACTATTATTGTTTTCCAAGAGTTTATGGTGTCAGTAAATTCTTTATTATCTTTGAAGCCAAACAGAATCACAGCAGATCCACTAGACATGTTGAATATCGGGGATAATTGCTAACATTTAATGTAAATTTGTGCACCAGATGAAGTTCACACAAACTTGTAATAAGCCTATGCATAATGCATTCTATAGTAGCAGTTATTTTTGAATAGGGAATGTTATTACTACGGATTGACATACAGGTAATATGGCAGTTGGTGATGTAAGCAAAAATAAGGGAGGCACTATAAACATCATTGCAAAGGTGTAGTACCAATTACCATGGTGTTTTACTAATAAAACATCTTTTATGCTACACTGCATCTCGTATGAACTGCTGCATAATCAGTATTTAGTGTTTAATAATCCTAAGTAGGTCTAAATACTGGTAAAACTTTCAAATTTAGCTGGTCTAATTTTTGAGACCTGTAAAACACTGAGACCCAAATGGTTTGAAACTGAGACCTTCTGAAGGGTGGTCTTGAGACCTACAATACTACTATGGATAGGCTTAATTGTTACTATTGTAATGCTAGAAGTATAAGAAATACATTATATGACTTTAGGGCACTGGTAGAAATGGGAGGTTTCGATATAATTGGAATGACTGAAACATGGTTAAATGTAGATGATTTTGATGGGAGATTTAGAAGATCAAGAAAGTTTGTCGAACAGGAAATTATGACATTCAAAAGGATGTATTAAAAAAAGTTGGCTGAAAATGTAAAAATTAACAGTAAGGATTTTTTTAAGTACATTAAGAGTAAACAAAATGTTAGAATGGGGGTAGGACCCTTGAAGGGATGATAAAGGAAGGCTTCTATCTGATGATTATGAGATGGCTGGGTTATTGAATTCTGCTTTTTCTCCAGTTTTTACTGATGAAGTATTTCACATCTTGAACAGTTGATAAATGGAAACAAGATCAAACAAAATGATCACATTAATTCTGAGCTTGTTAAGAAAAAATTGGGAATTTTAAAGAATGATAGGCTCCTGGACCAGATAATATTTCCCCAATGGTTTTAAAGGAGGTTAAGGATTGGATATGTGAGCCACTTGTTACCATTTTTTGCAAGTCTTTGAATAGTGAGCAGGTGCCAAAGGATTGGAAGTTAGCTAATGTCACTCCTCTTTTTAAGGGAGGTAATAAAAATTGTCCCACTAACTATAGGCCTATTAATCTTACATCAATTGTGGGAAAACTTTTGGAAAGTCTGATAAATGATGCATTGCAAAGTCATTTAACAAAGTTTGTAATTTTATTAGATAGTCAACATGGTTTCATTAAGGGAAAAGCTTATCTTAAAATTCTTTTGATATTCTTTGAAAAGGTTACTGCTTATGTAGATGAGGGTAAGCATTTGACAAGGTGCCACATAAAAGGCTTGTAAAAAATATCTCTACAGGTGTGGGGAATAAGTTAGCAAATTGGATAGAAGAGTGGTTAGATCGAAGAAAGCAGAGGGTTGTAAAAATGGAGTTCAGTCAAATTGGATTAATGTCACAAGTGGGGTACCTCAGGGCTCAGTCTTATGATCTTTGCTCTTTCTAATTTACATCAATGACATAGATGAAGGAATGTTCAATAAATTACTTAAATTTGGTGATGATATTAAGGTATTTGGTGTTGCTAGCTGTGAAGAGGATGCTGCTGCTTTACA